CCCCCTTGGGGATGCCTTCAGGGAGCCAGCCAGACCCACTGAGTTAACCCCCCATTTGGCCCTACTCCTCTAGGCGTTGGGGCTTGAAATAGCAGTGGCTCAAGAGCTGACAATCAAAGGGCAGCTAAATAAAGGCCTCTCAGTCTGGGCTCTGTCGCGCACGGCTGGTAGGGCCTATTTTGAGGGAGAGAGTGCCGACGTGCCAATGGAAAATTCATGGGGCGGGAGTCTCCGAGGTGGGGGACCCGTGTGCCTCCCTCTTCCCATTCTGGCCCCTCACCCCTGAGTATGCATGTGTGCGCGCCGCGCACATGCACACACAAGTGAGTACACACACACATAGATACAAGTTCCATCCCTTAGCCCACCTTTCTGAATGTTGGACCCTGGGATCCCTACAATAGCCTGGGAAAGGGATGAAGAAACAAGCTCAGAGAAAAAAGGTGACTTGCCCAAGGTCACACGGCTAAGAAATGGGGAGGGCCATGGCCAATCTGGGCTTCTGTGGCCCCCAGTCCAGTGCTGTTCACTGTCGACAGGCAATGCATTGTCCTCTGGAGTGTCAGAGGCTCAGAGACGGGAACAATGGTGGTACATTCTGGTTCACTGAGAAGGACGCATGGGAAGGAATCCCATTAGAATCCCCAGACCAGTTCTGACCAGACCTCGACCGGCTGTAGCGGGGACAGCTGGAGCAGGGCCTCAACTGCAGTGAGCCCAGCCCCCACCCCAGCCCTGTGACCACCTCACCCCCACCCTGCCCAGGCCCCCAGAGGCTGGCAGCCCCTGCCAAGTTTCCAGGGAATGTGTCAGATAAGGAGCTGGTGCTCATGACTCCTTCCCACCCTGCCACTATCTCTGACCCTACTGCCACCACCAAGTGAGTAAGAATAGCAACAGCTCTGGGGGGGGGGCACACACAGGGACACCACAATTTGGGACAACACAACAATGCCTTCAGGAGGACAGTTTTGGCCCTCAGATGGAGGACAGGTCTCTGGGTCTCCCTGCCCAGTCCTGCCGAGCTCCCATTGCCCTCCTGGGCTGGAAGTGCCCCCACACTGTATGGTCAAGGGCAAGCCTCAGCCCTGCAGGGCAGCAGGGCATCTGGGGTAGACAACGCTGTAGCCTTCTGGATCTTGGCCAGGGGACTGCACCCTGACCTCCACTGAGGAGCTGTGTGACCTGGAGCTCGGTGCAGTCCCCCTCTGCGCCCCTAAGCAGGGGAAGCAGCTCACTGAAGCAAGGGAAAGAGCCAGCTAAGGCTCTCCAGGAGATGGGGCCCTCACTCTCTGGCAACAGCACCCTTGCCTGGCTTCTTCATGGCCCTGAGAGGGCTGGTCAGTGGGCATATGGATAGGGTGAGGGCCCCCATGTCCCATGCGTAGGGATCTCCATGATATGACCACAGTGGAAAGGGTCATATCATGGCTGATTTCCCTGCACCAGTCTCTTTGTGACACAGCTGTGACTGTGAGAGGGTTGCCACGTCACTCAGGGAAGAGGTTGTTGTCATGGAACCCCTGGTGAGCATCACTGTGACACCGGAAGTGGAGAGATCCAGGGAGCCTTCTCTTCATGTTCCTGAGTCACTGCAAACACCTGGGCATGATTCAGGGAGTCAAGTTCCCTGGTCCCCACATCAGTGGCCCCTGCAGTTCTCACAGACTGACTCACATCATGAACAGGGACCCAGGCCCCCTCCCTGCCCTCGCCCCAGCCCCCGTGCCCTCCCCATCTGCCCCTGATCTCAGGTGACTCTTTCCCTTGGCCCTCACTGCTGCCTCTTTTCTCTCCACCTACAGGGCCCTGGGAAGGAGGTCAGGGTTGCTAGGGAAAGAGGTGGAAGGATGCAAGCTCACGTTCCAACAGCACGCACACAGGCGAAACTGCTGCGCACACTTACACACTCACGGGAACACACGTGTGCACGCTCATGCCTGACAGAGTGAAAGGCTGCCGAGGGAGTCTCCCAAATTGAGTCCCCCAACTAGCTTTCCAGGGGGGCTCCCACCATGCCTGCATCCTTGAATCCTTCCACACCTCTGAGGTCTTCTCAGTAGGAAACATGTTATCCTACAGCAGCAGGACGTCTGGAGGTGAGATCTCAGGAAGAATTTCTGTCCTGAGGCCCCAGTCTAGAATCCTTTGGTGGATATAGGTGTGGGTGGGGGGGTCTTTGCGGTCCCCAGACTGTTTCATTCTTTGGAGGCGAGGGCTGGACTGACCTCCAGGCCTCTTGCTTCAAGAGCTCTATCACTGGGGCTGGAAAAAAGTTTAAAAATATCCTCATGTTTACATTCTTTCCCAGTACGCCTCCTGGTCCTCAGTGCTGGGTCTCTTTGATCTGGCCTTGTGCTTCTGGAAGGGGCCTGGGAGAAGGAGAGCATGAGCCCCACTCTGGGGCTGATCCCTCCACCCCTCCAGCTCCAGCCCAGTCAGAGATGCGTGAGACCCCTTAGCAACAGAGCCAGAGAAAGCCTAGGGTCTGGAAAGGAGCCCAGGCAGGAAGCAGTGTCTTGGGTCGCCCAGCAAGGCCAGCTGGGGCTGGAGCAGGGACCCTTCTCCATATTCCCTCCCCAAAGCCTGGACCTCATGGGGCCTCTAGGGAGTGTGGAGATGCAGGCATTTTGGGGACTAGAGAAAGCCACATTTGTTAAGCTCCTGCAGTGTTCCTGGACTCTGCTAAACACATTTTGCAAGAATTTTTTATCATGCAGTTCTCAAAACAGCCCCATGAATTGAGGCCCAACAGGTAAACTGAGACTTGGAGAACTAAAGTGATTTACCTAGGAACACAAGCAAGGATGAAATGGGGCACAGATTGCACGCTGTTCTACCCAGAGGGTGCCTCTTGGTACTCCACCTTGCTCTGTTAGGATTTAAGCTCTGCCTACAGCGTGAGGCCCGCCTCACTAGTGTGAATCCCTACAAACACGCACTGCTCTATTGCTAAAGTGTTTCTCTCTCTTGTTGACCCTCACCTTCCTCTTTAGAATGAGGCTGAGAGATGTATGTCCATAGGTGCTCAGGGAAATTGAGCCTTGGCCCTTAGCACTGATGCAAACAGGGAGTGGCCTAGGGTCTGCAGGCTAAAGGAAGAAACCCTCAAACTGGGGCAGATGCTTCAATTTGCCCTGGCATCCGGTTATCTACCCTTTCCTTTGTTGGTTCCCCATCCACCTCCTCATCAAACCACCTCCCCCCCACTAACCTATCCACCCACCCAGCTACCTACCCATGCAACTATTACTCACCCGCCCACCTGACTCACTCATCCAGCTACCTACCCATGCATCCAGATCAAAGACCCAGAGAGCAGGGAGGTTCTAGCTCAGTTGCCAAATCTCACTGGTTGGATGAAACTGGGATGGTCCTTCCATCTTTTTGTGATCCAAATTTCTACCTTTACCTGAAGAAGCTGCCAGGGTGTTCTATAAGGGTTTTCTAGGGGAATCTGTGGAAGCAGAGACCAGCTGAAGGCTGTGGATACTTCTAGAGAGGTAATATGGACCTTGGCCACACAGTTTTGCATTGTGATCTAGTTCCAAGACTCTGACTACAGCCCTTAACCTCCTTGACCTTCAAGATCCTCCACTGCAAATGGGAACAATAATCTACCCTAGCAAGTTGATGAGAAGATTAGATAAGCTGCAACCTCCAAGGAACTTTGTTCCCTGAAGACTTCTGAGCCAAACAGACAATCCTCTGAGAGCAGCAGAAAAGCCTTGCTTGGGTTGGGGTGGGCAGTGTAACCTCCAATGGTGGGGTGGCATGGTCCCTGAGTACAGGGTGGTCTCTTAATACATCTTCAGGCTCCTGCAGGCCAGCCAGAATGCTGCTCTATTTCTCTTGGCTAGCCTTGGCCCCCATCCCACAGAATCTGCCAGCCATGGAGAGATTATCTCCTAAAAATAGGGCTGGGCCCCACCGAGGTTGTTTTTCTTCCTTCCCCGTGATTTACCATCATCAGCCCAGGGTGCCTGGGATGGCAAGTCCCACCCTGGCTCCCCAGAGACTATCAGGAAAGGGACATGTGGGATCAGCTTGTGTCTGGGTAGGTCAAAGGGCAGGGATTAGAGGGCGCTCTGCAGGTGTGGGTTTAGCAGAGCACCAGGGCCATGGCTTAACTTGGGCCAGAGGCAGAGTTCACCTGGGGCAGTAGCAACTCCAGCGTGATCCACAGGGGTTCCTGCCAATGCAATGGCGTCCATCTGAGTGACTCCCCTTCCCTGAGTTTCTGCAGAGGCCCTGTGTGCTCACCAGCCTGCTTAGAAAAAACCTGAAGTGCCTTGGAGCCTGCACTGGGGCAGAAGGGCACCCATCACCTCACCTCTTTGGTTCCTACTTACAGGGCCCTCAAGACTCCTGAACAGGAGCTGTGGCTGTGGCTCAGTGGCAGAGCACTCACCTAGCGCATGTGAGGCACTGGGTTCGATCCTCAGCACCATATAAAAATAAAATATAGCTATAGTGCCCATCTACGAGAGAGAGAGAGAGAGAGAGAGAGAGAGAGAGAGAGAGAGAGAGAGAGAGAGAGAGAGAGAGATTCCTTAATAAGCTCCTTCTGAGACTTAGAGACCTCTGCCCACCTCTGGGTGCAGGTGACTCATGTACAGGGATAGAAGTATTCTCGAATATCGAGCATAGGACACAGACTCCAAGGTCATGTCCTGCCATAGCCAAAATGATGTCCTGAAAATACAAGAATGACACACTCCAGCACTGTCCTCTTCACCATCACCTGCACAGTTAACCCATCCGGGGTTAGTGACCCTTCTTACTTTGGCCCCATTTTCACCAGTAGCCCATATGATGCCCCATGTTCTTCCTTACAAGGGACCCCAGTCTTGTCCCTCAAGCCCCCAGACCCATTCTGTGCAGCGGAGATGGGGAAGGCATGAAGGGATAGGTGTGTTCACACCCACACATGTATGCACACATGCCTGTGGACACTCAGACATAGTACAGCCATCCTTTAGAGCCCAGCCCCGCTCGCTGAGGCTTTATTATTGGACAACAAGCTGCCATTTGGAGTACTCCCATGGATAACCCATTAAAGTCAGTGTCCAGGCTCTGGGGACTTGTCAGGTAACAGTGCCTCTGCCCAGGAGGGTTTAAGGGCTTTTACTCTGTCCTCATTTCCACTGGACCTTGGGTACTGGAACCTTTCCCAGTGGGTTCAGATGGAGTCAGAGGCCAACACTTCCAGCTGGAGCTTCCTGGGTCCCTCAGACGGCTGGCTTCAGGGGCACACTGTCTGCTGGCTGATCCAGGTCCTTCTTCCTCGCCAGGGCCAGGTGGGTGAAGATGAGGATGAGGAAGAAGCCTGAGGGGCCCAAGAGGGATGGATCAACCCTCAGAAGGGGCTGTGGGACTTTTCAATTACTAGGGACCCATTGCTATTGGCATTGGTTTTAATAGAGAGGAAGTTTCCTAGACAGTATCCCAGAAGATGGACTGGTATGACCTGAGTGCCTGACAATTCAGACCACTTGGTCTCCTTGTACCTCACCAGGCCCTCGCTGCACTGAGGCAGCCCTGGAACACTCAAGCCACCAAAGTCCCCTTCTCTGGGGGACAGTTTGGTTGGAGTTCATCTGAGAGTCAGTAAGTTGCTCCTGTGTTCCTCCAGGAGAAAGGCACATCATAGCATTCTGCCAGAACCAGCAAAGAAAGCCAGCAAGGAAAAAATTTTAAGGAGCTAAATAAATACAGGGAATGGAGAGGATGGTTTGAACTGCAGGAACTAGGCTGGGAAGACCTGGGCTCTGCCGTGTAACTTCAGGCAAGTTATTCATCTCTCTGATCTGCAGGGACCTCACGTGCAAAATAGGAAGATACCAGGATCTACCTCGCAGAGTGAAGAGAGGATTCCATGTGACAATCCACGTAAAGTGTTTATCATAGGGCCTGACACAGTGCACAAATTGCGTAATAGAAAATGCTGTTATAAGTAATGATTATGATGACTATGATGCCAGGGGCATGAGTATAATGAGCAGTGGTGTTGGGGGTTCCTTTTTCCAGTGTCATTATAGGGACAAGGGGCACTGTTTATATGAAAGTTGTGGCCCCAACCAACCATCACTCTCCCCCACGCAGGAGCCCATCCTCCATTACCTATTGCTGCTAGGGTGCCCACAAGGATGCCAACTGCTGACAGCTTCGTGGGCATGCCCTTCATGCGGCCCACCTTGCGCATGCACTGCCCCTCCACATTGCAGCGACACACAATCACTGGGGGACAGAGTAGAGGAAGGTGAGAGCGATGCAGGAGGGCTCTCTTGGCTGCTTAGAGACTCCTGCCTGGTCAGCTGGCTGACTTGTGTTTCTGTCACCCAGACATATGCTTGGGTATGTGAATGTGTGTGCCTGGGTGCATGCAGGTATGTGGGCTCAATCACAAATATGTAAGTGAGCACAGGTATATGCTGTCCTTGTGAGCCCGCATGATGGGTACCAGCCCTTCCCCCTGCATCCTGATGCTGCCTCAGGCTCCCTAACTTAAGCCCCAGCCTTACCTCGAACCAGGAGCTGCCACATCCGGGCATTGTGGCTGACAATCACAGGGACTGTGTGTTCTCGTGGCTCTACCCAATGCAGGGCCAGGGTGAGGTAGGCATGGGAACCTGTCAGGTTGCAGGAAGTGACCAGGATCATTAGCTTGACAGGTTCACTGGGGGCTACTTCCCTTAGGTCTGATGCCACCCCCATCTCACTTCCAGGTGATCCTCCCTGTCTTCCCCCATCACATACCATTGAGAGGCTGGAGGCGCCAATCTCGCTGCACCGTGGGATTGGGACCAAGGGCAAAGCTGTAGGGACCATGCCCACTGGCCAGGTCAGGGTCCTCACTGGTGATGAGCACACCATAGTCCTGGCGTGGTGTGCAGAGGTGCCGAGCAGGTACAAGGGCCAGAGCCGGGGTGGGGGCAGGAGGGGCCTTTAGGAAGTGGATCACGAGGGTGGCAGAGGTACTCAGTCCTGGCTCATCTGCATGGTTGGGGGTAGGATTGAGCTCCAGAGTCCCTGGGCTGCTCTCTCCCCACATAACCCATCAGTTTCATCCTGCTGCTTCCCTGCCACTCTGCCTCCACTCCATCCACTCCTTCTCTCCTCCCACCATCATCCCCATGGCAGCCTCTTCCTCACAATGAGCTTCACTCCTTCACTATCTGAGCAGTCATTTGTCTACCTGTGCCTTTCTGAATGCCAAACCTGCCCCCATTGCCACTCCTGCTACTGATGCCAGGACCCAGGCACATGGCAGCACCCTTACCATAGAAAAGCCCACTCCTGTTGGTCTTCCCTGAGCCTTATGACTTACCCTCCCCAGGGCCAGCTGTTCATCCTGTAAAAGCTCCATTCACAGTCCTCCACACCTGGCCTCAGCAGTGTCCCATTTGGCTCATCTCCCAAAACCTCTGCTCTAAAGGTAGCCCCTGGACCCCCTTCCACCTCTCCAATCTAGTACCTCTGGCCTGAGCTTGTTCCTGAAGCCAACACCCTAAGAGGCCATCCAGAAGTTAAGGGACTGGGTTGGGAGATCTCAAGTGGGAAGCGAGAGGGTGGTGGAAGAGGGGAGGCAGAGACCAGGTCTACCTGGCTCCCTCTTACTACCTGGGGGTAGACCCATTCTCAGAAAGAGACACTGGACTTAGCTCCTTGTCCCTCTCTCCTGCCTGGGGCTTGGTGGCTATCCATAAAGGTCCCAAGGAGGAAGCTCCAGTCCTGCCTGTCTTTCCATCTCTCTGAGGTTTGCATATGGAGCTAGTAAGATTTGCATATGGAGCTACTTCAATATGTAGTCCCAGTGCCTACCTCCCAGAGGCCCCCATATTGCCTGGCCATACCTGCATCCTGGGCCTCCACAAGCACTGTATATGAGTCCTCAGGCCCGGTGCCATGCAGGGACTTGGCCGTGTGCACTTCCCCAGAGAATTCCTTGATGGATAGCCAGCCCTCTGAGTCATTGACCAGGGAGAACCTGAGGCCCAGAGAAGAGGGTAGAGGTAAGGAGGCACTGGCACTATGTATGAGGTCTTGCCCAGAAATCCCCAGGACAGTGTGACGTGCTCAAGTTCCACATTCTCTCTGTGATTCAAGGGAGACAGTAGGCTCTCTCCCCAGCTCAGGACCTGCTGGTGCTGGGGGAATTGAACAATGGATACTGTGGGTAGGGGAAGTCTACCACAGTAACGGGGGACCTAATTCAACTAGGTCCAGGGCACACTGCAAAGGGGTCTGGATGGGATCAGAGCCTGGGGAAAGCTTTGTCTGTGCTTCTACCTGGATGCAATGTGGAGGAAGCCCCTCCAGGTGAGCTTCTATGGGTCTGAACACTGCCTCCATACCCTGCCCAATCCATCCAGACTTGATTCCCCCAGGAATCACAATCACTATTCTAGGCCACAGATAATGTGAATCTCGTCTGAGGCCCTGGAGTCATCCTGGGGAGCAAGATAGATCCAGCCCAGGTAAGGGCTGGGCTTTTGGCTCACCTGAGGGCTCTGCTCCTAGGGTCTGAGGGCTGGATGGTCAGCAGCAGCGAGCCAGCTGGGGTGCTGACTGGGATCCTGGCCTCGTAGCTTTCCTGGTCCAACTTGGGGGGTGGTATCACTCTCTCCACCAGCACGGTCACTGTGGCTGTGGATCCAGGGCCTGGGCCTGGGCCCACCAGTTCTTTCACGTTCCGCACTACCACCACTACCTTGTGATGGGGAGCTGCCTCATAACTGAGGTTCTGGAACCAGAGAGGCCCAGGTCACTGTGTGGGCTGGGGTGTGACACACCTGTGCGTGTGTGCATGTGCCTGTGTGTATGTGCACATGCACCCCTTTTACATCTACTCAGACCCTTACCTTGCGGAGTCTGAGTTGCACATGACCAGAGTCTGGCTCCCAATCCAGGCCGAATATCCCTTCCACGTTTCCTGCTTCAATGGCAAAGTCCATGAGGCGGAAGGCAGGCTCAAGGTCAGCATCAGTGGCCATGAGAGTGGCTACCAAAGTCCCAGGCTCGACATCCTCAGGGAGGTTTATAGGCCCAATCTGGAGAGAGGGCGAGGGGTGGTGAGCCCTACCAGCACCCTTCCCAAGGTCTCCTTCCTGCTTTTGCTTACCTGGGAGGCGGTAAACTCAGGGGCGTGGTCATTGATGTCTGTGATTATAACTGCAATCTCACACGTGCTGCTGAGGCCTGAGGCAGGAACGAGCTTCGTGTTGGTGAGACTCCAGTAGGAACAGAGTGGGTAGGAGACCCAGGTCACCATCAGGGCACTTACCACCCTCTGCTCCTGCTAGGTCAGTGGCTAGCACCTGAAGCAGAATGTTCTGGCTGGCTTGGAGTGGAGCAGTTCCCAGAGTCACAGAGCCTGAAGTAGGATCCAGCTCAAAGAGTCTCCCCTCAGCCCCCTCCACAGGTTCAGGACTGAGCAGCTGATACACAACGTAGGAATTGGGAGAGCCAGGGGCATCTGCGTCCTCTGCCGACAACCTAGTCACTTCAGTGCCTACAAGACAGGCCACACCTGGGTGGGACCACGGCCCAGACTGGAGGCCCTAAGCCTCCCACTCCATGCTTCTTTTTTTGTGCTGAACTTAACTTGAGCTTGTGTGCGGAGGAGTATTGGAGAGGGACATTAATATAGGGGCCTGAAGCTAGAGTCCCTTACCCCAGAGAAGCACAAGGGGATGGTTCTCAGAGACTGCACCTTTCCCTCACCCCTGCCCAGACCCACAGCACACCTGGGGGGCTGAGTTCGGGGATGCTGACTGAGGGCCCATGTGGGAGGCAGACGGGTCTGTTGTCGTTCTCATCCATCACCACCACGTGTAACTCCAGAGGCGCTGTGTAGTCCTCTCCACGGGAATTCTGAGCCCGCACCTGGAGCACAAACTGCAGTGGGCAGTGGGAGGCTTCAGGTCAGGGCCAAGGATGGTTCCAGTCCCTTCTGGTGGCCAGCTCCAGCTCTCCTGGGCTCTCTTCCACTGCCTCAGTGTCTGTGGCGGATGTGACATCCCTAAAAGCCAACCAGTGACTAAGCACCCTCCCGCCTACCTCCCTGGCTTCCCTCTCACCTCACCTCAGCCTGGGCCTCTCGGTCCAGCTCCCTGGTCACGTAGAGTTTCCCCTCTGTGTCCACTTTGAAGGGCCCAGGGGGCTGGCTCTCCAGGTGATAGCGCACACCCCCTCCACTCCAACGTGCCTGAGAGGAGGGTACAGAGTGAAGACACTCATGCCAAGCGCAGGAATGTTCAGTGTCAGCCCTTGTGTCCCACAGAGATACCCAAGCAAGGGGCCTGACCCAATTACCATGTGACCTTAGGCAAATTTCTGTCCTCCCTAAGTCTTGAGGCCAGGTAGATTCCCCTGTAGGGGGCACTTGTCATTGTGACTTTGCCTTGATTCAAGCCTGGCCCAGTCCCACAGTGCCCTAATAACCAGGTTACTTTCTTTTCTGTCCTTTCAAGCTGGGCCTGACCCAAGGACATTCCTAGAGAAGGCCTGAGACATTTCTGTCCTGGGTGACAATCCCCATGGCAGCAAGAGGTAGCAGCTGTTCTCCACAAGAAAGCCTTGGGCAAGCTGGAGAGGTCAGAACACAGAGCTACACCTGCCAGAGGATGGCAGGTTAGGGACTATGGGATTGGTCCCAAAGCCTTATATACCCTCCTCTACAGTGAGAAGTAATGGGAAGAATAGAAGGAGGAGTGGGGGCCAAGTTGGTTCCCAGACATACCTTCCAACAGTCCATGAGCCTCAGGTTCAACTGCACCATCTAGGATTGCTTTGGCCACTGAAAACCACTTACTTACCTGGGCAATGTAGTGTGGGTACAGGACTTCAAGATTCTCTGCCAGGTATATAGGTCCTAGGGGCACCCAGGTGTTCTCTACTATGGAGATCTCTATGGTGGCTGTGGCCTGGTGGCCTGAGGCTTGGTCACCCATGTCCTTGACCTGTACCAACAGCTGGTAGGGCCCCTCCAGGGCATGGTCTAGACTGGTGTTCCCTAGAAGGGATAGGATGGTTATCCAAGCATGAGGCCAGGGAGCAAGAACCAGAGTAACCTTCTCAGCAGATACCAAACACAAAGCCAATCCAGTGGCGGAGGTTCAGAACACTCTCTTGCCTAAAGGATGAGAGGAGCGTTTAACACCATCATGAGATTCCAACTAGGATTTGATAGTTTGCAATGTCATTTCCATATCTACTCACACAGTGATGTGAGGGGTAGATGGAGAGCCAAGATGGAGATGTGGTAGATGTGGGTATGGTGGGAGATGATCATTGGATGAATGAATAATTTACTGGGTTGATGGATAGGGATTTGGGTGAGTGCATGGAAGAGTATGTGGATATGTGAGTGTTGGACAGATGGGCTCTATGGGTGGTGTCAGGGTAAATGTGTGAAGGGGTGACTGCCTGTGTTGAGGTATGATTCACTTTTTTTTTTATCCTCAAGCGGTGCTTCTAGTCTGAACTCCCTGTCAAGGTCTCTTCTGCCTTCAGCTCTGAGGTTCCTGGACCACAGCCCCTTTGAGCCATTTCTATCTGGTTTCCTGGGTGTGGGGTAGAGGCACACCACCCTGTTTCCTAGCTATCCACGCACAGCCAGGCATGACCCCTGCCTTGCTCTCCATCCTTTTCTCCCCCTTCTTCTCCAGCTCCAACTCATTTGCAGCTCAGAGACCCTCTTCTTCAGTTTCCCTGACTCTCCTCAGGCTCACCCTCAGGACTGAGAGCCAGAGCCCCCAGTTGAGGCTCCAACTGGAACATGTCTGGCGAAGGCTGGGCTGGAGCCTGGTTCAGGATCCAGAATCGAAGATCTGAGTTCGCTGTTCCTGGTGCATCCCCATCTGAAGCCTCAAGGAAGAGGAAGGGGACACCTGGTGGGTGGGGAGAAGATACACTGTAAGAGATGGTGGGGGTGGGGAGTCTCCTGTGCCTCCCCTCTCTCTCCCTGGTTCTTCCTTCTATATCCATCCTTCTATCAGGATTGTGGGGGTGAGACATAGCTTTTCATCCCACTTCACAGATGAGAAAACTGAAGCCAAGAATAGACATGACCCACAGCAAGGTGGGAAGGGCGCAGGATGGGACAGAGATGGGGGAGAAGCTTAGACCCTGGCTGCCCTGGTCCCTATACTGATGGTCTTTTTACTCTTGGCTGTTCCGTTAAGTGTTCACCTGACTTCTACAACTTGTCTTCCTTCATCACTCACCAGGCCTGGTACCCTGACTCAGTTGAGCTCTGTAGATGGCCTGGGAGAATTGGGGCACCTGGTCATTTTCATCCTTCACATGCACAATCACATGCTGTGGACCCCACAAGACATGTCCATCCTCAGTCTCCAGGGTGACCTGGCAAAGAAGAGTAGTGAGTACCTGGTCTTGCCCTGCCTACTCTCCCCTATACCTTGCCAACCATACCTGCAGCTGATATTCTGCCTGTTCTTCTCTGTCCAGGGCCCTGGTCACCGTCAGGAAGCCAGAATCTGGGTCCACAGCAAAGGGGTCCTCAGCTGCCATATCTGAGTCCCCTGACAGTACAACCCGACCTTCAGCCTTCTCACGGGGCAGTGGCAGCTGGTAAGAATGGAACCAAAGGAAGTGGAGGCCAGGCCCCTGAAGAGTACCCCTTCACTTACTTTACATGTGGGGACACTGAGCTGGCACTTACCAGCTCTCAAGCTCACCTTGATAAGGTACAAAGGGAAATTTCCACCATAGTTTTCAGGGACTTCCACATGCAGTTCTGCAGGCTGGGCCTCAGGGAAAACCTGTGAGTGAATGCTCACCTTGACCCATGGTCTATCTTCCTACAAAAGTGCTGGGATGTGATGGGAAGAGGAATTTCTGCCCCTTCTCTGGACCTGGCTTTACCTCAGCCCATCTACCTTCTGGCTTTTGACCTCCGGACCCCATATCAGCCCACACTCCCAGCTCTGAGCCCCCCACTTCCATACTCTTCCTATGGTGAGTAAATTGGCCCAGATGGAGTTGAGGGAAAAGGGTGCCAACCCCCAAGACCAGAGCCTGAAGGAGCGGGCAGAACCCAACTCACCTGGGTGACGCAGAGGCAAAGGAGCCACAGCCAGGCAGGGACCATGGTCAGGATGGGCCTGAGGGACATGGCAGTGAGAATCTGGCCCAGATGAGTGGGAAGGGAGGTTCTATCCCATTCACACGACTAGAGGAACCTCACTATGGACTAGCCTCCTCTTCCTTCCCTGTGGCTCACCATTGCCTGCAGGGAGGTGTCTAGCTCCCCAGCAAGACCCAGCAAGACCCCAGACCCTCTTGGCTCTTGTTCCCACAAGGATCCCTCCAGACCTTTGTCTCTCTCAAGCCCTCACCTCCCCAGCTCGTAGATCCCAATGCAGTGATTTTCCGGCAGCTCCGCATCCCCGGACACACAACAAATCACAAAAGTTTTAGATGGAAAGACTGTGTGAGGTCACTTCCTGTAGTTGCCTCATGTTGCAGGCAAGGTCTGAAGGTCAGGGCCTGGCCAAGGTCATAGAGGACTTGACCACAAGAACATTCCTCTTGGAACAAGGATTCATGGCTTGGGGTCTCAGGGACTGTCCTGCTTCCCACTGCCACACTCCAGACATGGAGTACCCCAGGTAAGAGCTCTGCCCTCATCTGGGCATTTTCCAGCACTTGGCCTATAGCTAAGCACATAGAGCATCCACAACCACTCCAAGATGGATCCCTAGAAATTCGTCCCCAAAGGACAACAGAAAGAGAGGGTGGTGCCCCCAGACCCCATTTTCCCACTCCCTCCCACAACCATTCCCTTACCCTTGGTCCAGCTGCCAGGTAAGAGGGCTCCTTCTGCAGGGAGCTCTGGGTAGGCTAGGCTGGGTCCAGTAGGACAAGGCGGGCACTTGAACAGGTAGGCGGGCCAGCCTTGCTTGCTCAGGAGTGGAAAATGCCACCAGGCCCATAGCAGCTGGCCTGGCCTGGCCTAGCCCCCAAGTTACTCATTGACATTGGAAAGCTGGTTGCTGCTCAGCATCCGTGACTGCCAGCCCCAGGAGGTGGGCAAACCATGGCCTGGCCCTCCCCTTCTCAGACACAGCTCAGTAGACACTCCTTGGCCTTCTGGGCTTGGACACTACTTTTTCCATGGCTTCAGACTGGGTCCCACTTCTCCCCTGTGTGCCGGCACCTGCAGCTGCACCTTTGCACACTCTGTTCATTTTCCTTGGAATGCCCTTCCCACTGCTTCATCTATGTGGTAAGTACCATGCTTCAGTTCTCAGGGCAAACGGTCCCTTTACCAGGAAAGCCCCCAGTGCTCAGAGGCTGGTTCAGGAGCCTCCTCTGGGAATGACCCCACCCCACACCATAAACTTTCTCTATCAACGTGTAGAGGACACCAGCTTGTCGTCCATTCATTAGACTCGGAGCCCCCCCAAAGCAGGGTTCAAATTTCCAGTCACAACCTGACCCTCGCCATGCCTGGCAGCTCCCAACTGGTTTGTGAAACTAAGACAAGGACTGGACCTGAGGGCCGATGAGAAATGCATGACCTGACGTGGGCATTAAGGGTTCTAGGTGGTTCACCGGTGGGACTAATGGGGGAGACAACAGCTGTGAGCTCCCTTGAGTGTCCCCATATCCTCGCATTGGCCCCTGATTGCTGATAGAGTTGGGACAATGAACTGTCTTATGCCTCTGAGAAGGAAAGAGAAGACTGAGCCAACTCAGGTGACCTTGAGAAACTTCAAGGCTGACCAGAGAGAGCCCTTCCCCCAGTGAGTGCTGCCAAGCAGATCCAGGAGAAGCTTCTGGGGCCTGGGAGTCTGAGATGAGGGGGAAGGGGGGGATATCCTGGTCTCCTGACTCTCCCTGTCCTTGGAGTTTCCCATGGTCTCCCCTGAGGCCTTCCCACTGCATATCAGGTTAGACTCTCTTAGGCTGGCAGCTAGGCTAGGGCCTGTCAGCTGCCCCCAGTCTTGCCACAAGCTGAGTGCCTCCCTCTCAGTCACTTGGGCACCCAGTCTGGGTCAGTGATGTGTGGGGATGTTGAAAGGGTCTCACAGATGTTGAGCTCCCACTATGCCCAGCACCTCTCTGAGCACACACTATTCTACCCACTCCATTCTGAAGAGGGCACTATCTTCAAACCACACACTGGGGCACAGAGAACTGAAGTGGTTCTTAGTACTCTGGGTCACACAGCCAATAAATAGCAGAGCCAGAATTCCTCTTCAGGGCTGGGGACCCTCATCTGCTCTAAGAAAACCATGCCCTTCCCATACCTCAAAGTATATTGGCAGCAGGCACAGACACCAGCAGCAGTTTTGAATAGTTGAATATTGTCTTGGGGGAATTTGGGTGAGACTCAGTGGAGACCCCCGCCCCCATACACACACGCGAACACACCACACACACACTGGACCAGCTTCAAACCTCCTTTTACCATGGAACAAGTTGTAATTGGGGTTCTAACCAGGTCTTGGGAGCTTCCAGGGGTCAGTGAAATGAATAAATGGAACTAATGTAGAAATGAGAAATACATGGATCATGTCCCAGACCCTTCTTAGAAGGTGTCCCTCACCTTGTCCCAGACTGTCTCCAGGTTTTGGAGATGAGAAGATTTGTATACCAGTCCCCATTTAGTCACTTTCTATCCATTACCAAATGCAAATGCTCATTCCTGAAACCATGCCCCGTAGTCTTCTGTCCATGGGGGATATATTCCAAGACCCTCTAGTGGATGCCTGAGACAGAGGACAGTTTCCTTCCCCCCCACACATTGTCCTCCCATATATGTGAATATATATGATGTATACATATACATATATATGGATATGAGATATGTGTGTGTGTGTGTATACACACACACACACATATTTAGTCACGAACACTACATTTTTGCCTATATAAACCTATAATAAACTTTCTCCTTTTCTTAAAGGAAGCACTTTACAGCCTTTCTTTGGCATGTCTGAATTGCCGGTATCACTACTCTTGTGTTTTAAGGCCATAAATAAGTAAACTAAAGATTACTTTATGACTAGCACTGTGATATACCAAGATAATTGATATGATAACCGAGATGCCCTAAGAGATTAACAGGTGGGTAGCACACACAGTGTATATCCTCTGGACAAAGAATGATTCATATCCTGAGTTGTACAGAACTGCATGGCTTAAGATTTCATCATGCTACTTAGAATATCAAGCAATTTAAAACGTAGGAGCTGTTTATTTCTGGAATTTTCCATTTAATATTTTCAGACTGTAGTCAATGAAGGATGACTAAAACTACAGAAAGTGAAACTATAGATAATGGGGGATGATTATAGTCAAACTCCTGCACAAGCACCTGTGTTGAGGATGAGGGAGTCACAGTCTCACATTCTTCCAAGAATGTATGATCTGGGGATGTAGCTCAGAGGGAGAGCACTTACTTTCCCAGCATGTACAAGGACCTGTGTTCAGTCCCTAGTACTGTGGGTGGGCAGGGAGCATGCTCTTGCATTCCAGGCAGCCAGGGCTCCAGGGAGCTGTTTTTACCAAAATCAAATTAGCCAATGCCCAGCCAGAAAGAATTTTAAGAAATAATTGTGTGGGCCCCCTCAGTAACCCAACCTCAGCATAGGAGATGAAGGAGCCACTTGGAGCCAAGAATGCTCAGGTATACCTTCCTCATTCCCACTCTTCCAAACCATCCACCCTTCTGCCACCCAAGTCACTGAAGTTTCCCTCCCTCCATCTGCAGCTCAGTTGATTCCCGGCACCTCAGGAGGGAACAGGGTAGAAATACCTGGTGTAGAGCCAGACCCGGGGTTCTTGTCAGGCAGTGAAACCCAGGGGAAGGCGTGTTCTCTCAGGCAATGATTCCTTTTATATATAGTGGGGTGATAAGACCCACAATCAGCCAGGCAATGCCAGGCCCCAGTACAGAGATGGATCTGGACAACAGAGGCTGGGAGGGGTTTGTGTCTCCTCCTGCTCCTTGGACATTCCCAACCTTGCCTTGCCCGGACCTGCTTCCTCAGTCCATCTGGCTATATGCAGGCCCAAACATGAGAACTATCAAGGCCGCACACCAGAGTAGGGCAAGAAGTTCCTATCTCTCAACTTCAGATACCTTCCTGCTCCTGAAGCCCCCAGATAGGAGGAAACACAGTTCACAGCCCTGACATGTCAGGAAATAAGTCTTTATTACAAAAATCTCCATGTAAACAATAGCAACTGCACTTAACAGCCTCCTTCCAAGGCACGCACAAAGAAGAAAGGCAGGGTCCTGTCCCCTCACACGGGTCTGGCTGGGCTCAGGTTGCTGCTTGGTATATACGTGGGCCTGCACATGCACATCTGTGGGCCCAGCCCTCACCAGCCACTGGGAACTGTCTCCCGGGGCAGCACGATCCTTCTGTCCATGACCCATGGTGGATGCCCAGCTGGCAGCTCCACAGGGTGTCGAAAGTGAGCTAGCCCTGAGGTACCAGTGGCGGTTGGCTGGGCCAGCCCACCAACCCATCCATCTGCCCACCTCAGTGAGAGCTTTCAGGGTCTCAGAGAACTGAGAGGTCATGGCAGGACTTGGACTTGGCACGAAAGGCCATCTTGCGGCTGTTGCGTGCTACAATGCGGCCCAGGAAGCGTTTTGCCTTCTTGCCAAGGCTCTCCCGCCGCCGGGTTCCAGCTTGCCGTCGTGCATTGGCCTCTTTGCTGTCCCTGCGCAGGCGTATCTGGCGCACAACACCCTCAAACAGTGCCTGGACATTGTGGTGTAGTGCTGCTGATGTCTCGATGAACTTGCAGTCAAAGACCACAGCGCAGGCCCGGCCCTCTAGGTGGTGGGGATAAGCATGTACCAGTAAACAAAGGGTAGGGAACGGCATTCAAACCCTGACCACCCCTGGCAGCTACCACACAAGAATTCCCAGGTAAGGGAAAGGGGAGGCCTGGGTCTTCCTTAGAACTCCTGTTCTGAGGGTCCAGGGCACTGCAGGGTTACTCCACAGGCAGGATATGCCTACGTTTAAGGAGCCCCCAAAATGGTAGCTCACAAAAGAAATTCATTCATTCATTTATTTGAAGTCTGATGTTTAAAGGGAAGTACCGCAGCAGTCAACCAAGAAAATAAGA